CACTTAACGTCTGCACTTCGCTTTTATAGGAGCTGCTGGATAAGGGACAGGAGCCCATGGGTCACCCTGGGGCTGCAGGCAGAGGTGAGCAGTGGGGGGGGATGTGGGGTTATAGGGATATAGGGGGGAGGGGGGGATTTGGGGATTGCCCTGCTCACAGCTCTGCCTTTCTTGCAGTGCCACGGGAGCCCCAGGATGTGTGGTTGGCATCGGGATTTTGTAAATAAAGAAAAGGGTATTTTTGTAATGGTGTCCCGTTTGTGGCTGCAGGGGGAATGGGAGGGAGGTGGGGGGGTGGGTGGGACACAGATTGGTGGCACAGGGTTGGGATGGAGGGACTGCAATAGGATGGAGCAGAGTGGGAGAGGATGGGGACAGAGGGGAGCTGTGGGGACAGATTGGGACTGGGGACAGAGCTGGGGATGCTGTGGGGCTGGAGGGGATGGGAGTGGGGATGGAGATACGAAGGGATGGAGGTGTAGGTGATGGGCACAGTCTGACCTCAGAAGTGGGAGCAGGGCTGCAGGGCGTCACCTTGGAGTGACAGAGCACAAGGTGACAGATGTGGGGCTGGTGGTGGCACAGGGGTAACGGGGAATGCGTCACATGGGGTTGACAGACAGTGGGGACAACGTGGGGTGACAGAGCAACACGTGCTGGTGGCCTTTGCCTGGGTTTATTTCGATGTACAGCGGTGGCATTGGGGAACGGTGCTGTCCCCACAGTGTCACCCATTGCCCTGGGTGATGGCACAGGAAGGGACACAGCTGGTACAGTGGCACTGCTGGGCTCTGTGGGGTGCAAAATGGCACCATGGGCACTGGAGGACCCCATTACTCTCTTAAGGGATGTAGGAGGTACCCAAGTGTGCCCTGGGGTGGCCACTGGCCCCATTGCTCCCTATGGGGGGGTGCAAGATAACACTGTGGCCACCCAGTGCCCCATTGCTTCCCGTGGGGTTCAGGGATCACTTCAAGGTGCCATTGGGCTCCATGGGGTGCAGGATGGTTCCACGGGTGCCCAGCAGCCCCACTGATCCCCGTGGGGTTGATGGGATCACTTCAAGTTGCCGTTGGGCTCCACGAGGTGCAGGATGGAACAGTGGCCCCATTACTCCCTGTGGGGCTCAAGGATCACTTGGGGGTCCTATTGCTCCCGGTGGGGTTCAGGGATCTCTCAATGATCCTATTGTTCCCCATGGGGCTCAGGGATCTCTCAGTGACCCTATTGCTCTCCATGGGGCTCAAGGATCACTTAAGGACCCCACTGTTCCCCATGGAGTTCAAGGATCTTTAAGTGGCCCTATTGCTCCCTATGGGGCTCAGGGTGCACTTAGGTGCTGCATTGGACTCCACTGCTCCCCATGGAGCTCAGGGATCACTTAGGGTCCCCACTGCTCCCCATAGGGCTCAAGGATCACTTAAGGACCTCACTGGTCCCCATGGGGCTCAGGGATCACTTAGGGGCCCCACTGTTCCCCATGGGGTTCAGGGATCTCTCAATGGCCCTATTGCTTCCCATGGGGCTCAGGGATCTCTCAGTGGTCCTATTGCTTGCCATGGGGCTCAAGGATCACTTAAGGACCCCACTGTTTCCCATGGGGTTCAAGGATCACTTAGAGGTCCCATTGCTCCCCATGGGGCTCAGGGATCTTTCAGTGGCCCTATTCCTCCCCATGGGGCTCAAGGATCACTTAGAGGTCCCACTGCTCCCCATGGAGCTCAGGGAACTCTCAATGGCCCTATTGCTCTCCATGGGGCTCAAGGATCACTTAGGGGCCCTACTGCTCCCCATGGAGCTCAGGGATCACTTAGGGGCCCCACTGTCCCCATGGAGCTCAGGGATCACTTAAGGACCCCACTGTTCCCCATGGGGCTCAGGGATCTCTCAGTGGCCCTATTGCTCCCCATGGGGCTCAAGGATCACTTAAGGACCCCACTGTTTCCCATGGAGTTCAAGGATCACTTAATGGCCCTATTGCTCCCCATGGGGCTCAGGGATCTCTCAGTGGCCCTATTGCTCCCCATGGGGGTCAAAGATCACTTAAGGACCCCACTGTTTCCCATGGAGTTCAAGGATCACTCAGTGGCCCTATTGCTCCCTATGGGGCTCAGGGATCACTTAGGGGTCCCGTTGCTCCCCATGGGGCTCAGGGATCACTTAGGGGTCCCATTGCTCCCCATGGAGCTCAGGGAACTCTCAATGGCCCTATTGATCCCCATGGGGCTCAGGCATCTCTCAGTGGCCCTATAGCTCCCTGGGGAGCTCAAGGATCACTTGAGTCCCCCATCGGGCTCCACGTGGTGCAGAACATCAGCACCCCCCTCCTCGCTCCCCCCCTCCCCAAACCCCGCACCCCCTTCCACCTTCACCCCCAACCCCTCAGCGGCTGCCCCACAGATATGGGGCTGATCCCCCCCTCCATCCCTCAGCGTCCCCAACACCTGAGCAGTGATGTGAGCCAGGTCCCTCCTTAACGCTCCCAGCGCCCTCTCCGCTTGGCCCCTGACCCTCAGCAGCCTTTCTCTCTCCCTCCCCAGTCTCCCCAGTTCCTCCTGCAATCCGGCGATGGCTTCTAATTTTCGACGCCGGCATTTTTGAGCAGCTACTTTGTTCTTGCCCCGACGGCGGATATCTCGAGCCAAAGCCAATTCAGCACCGGATAGATGAGAACGACCCAGGAGAGCGTTGAAATCCTCCGCCGGGAGGTTGATGATGGCATCGGGACCGATGGGCAACGAGAGAGCCAGAGCTCGGCGGGCATCGCGGCTGCTGCGGGTGGGGGGAGCTGGGGGGGCGGAGGGAGGGGGGGGTTGGGGGTAA